CTTTGGAGAATGTCTTATCCCATTTTCTGAGACTGGGTAATTTATAAAGAAAAAAGGTTTATTTGGTTCACAATTCTGGAGGCTGGGAATTCCAAGAAGCATGCCGCCAGCATCTGGGCATCTGCTCAGCTTTTGGTGAGGGCCTTGTACTGCATCACAATGTGGCAAAGAAGCGGAAGGGGAAAGGCTGTGTGCAAAGATCGCAAAACATGAGAGGCAAACTCGCTCTGTAACAACCCACTCTTGTCAGAACTAATCCATTCTCATGAGAACAAACTAGTCTTGGAGAAAGACAGTCTATTAATCTATCTTATCAAAGCTCAGCTAATCATCTCTTGAAGGCACCACCTCCCAAACCGTTACATTGACAGTTAAATTTCAACATGAATTTTGGTGGGGACAAACGACATCCAAACCATAGCAGAGGAATAGAAGGGAAGAGGAAGTGCTCTGACAAGTTTAATCAAAAAAAGAGAAATCAAATATTCAACATAGGAAATGTGAAAGGAAAAATGAACATAAAGACATACAATTTTTAATGAGAAAAGAATGCATACACAATGGAAAAAATGATTAAAGTGAATAATATAAGAATATATAAATTGGAAAACTGTACCCAAAGCATAATAGATCTAAAGAAATAGAGAAAGTTATTAAAGAATTGCATTCAGAAGAGAAATTGGGTTTAATGGGTGGATTATTTTAAACCTTTAGGAAAAAGATAACTTTCTGGGAAAAGTATGAAATGCTTACGGGCATATTTTTTGAAAGTAGCATAACTGTACATAAAAACCACAGAATGCTATCCCAAAAAACTATAATTCAATTTCGTTTGTGATAGGAATTGAGTGGGACTTTTCCAATTGCCTCAGAATGAGTAATTGGGGCCCAAAGCACTAGATTTAAGGAAAGCCACTGGCTTAGTCAGTCATATCAGAACCAACAGGATATGTATATATATATAGAGAGAGAGATTTATTTTAAGGAATTGACTCAAGGGATTGTAGAGGCTTGGCAAATCTAGAATCTGCAGGATAGCTGGCAGGCTGAGACTCAGGGATGAGTGGCAGTCCAAGTGCAAAGGCAGTCTGCTGGCACGATTTCCTCTTGCTCAGGGGAGTCAGTCTTTTTCTGTTAAGACCTTCAACTGATTGGATGAGGCCCACACACATTATGGAGGGTAATCTGCTTTACTTGGTCGATTTAAATGTTAATCTCATTCAAAGAAAACAAGGGCCAGCCTGTGGCCCACTTGGGAGAGTGTGGTGCTGACAACACCAAGTCAAGGGTTAAGATCCCCTGACCAGTCATCTTTAAAAAAAAAAACCTAAAAAAACAAGAACACCTTCATAGAAACATCCAGAATAATGTTTGGCCAAATATCTGGGCACCATGACCCAGCCAAATTGACACATAAAATTAACCATCACGGTCACCTTATAAAGAAAGCCGAAAAGAATTAGGGGCCCTGGCACCAGCTTATGGATTTAATAGCCGGCTGAGCAAGCTCCTCTTTCTCTCATCATTCCAGAGGACTGGGAGAGAGAAGGTACTTGAAGAATTCTGAATCAGGGACTAAATTCAGGGTACTCTCCCCTGCAGGCTGAGGGAGGGGCCTCAGAGAAGCCTTCCTAGAAATTTGAGGGGCCTACAGGAAGGGGGGATTAGATTCTATTTCTTGGTTGGACATTAGTTGAGCTTTGAAATCTATAGCCTGACCCCAAGAAGAGGGGCTCAGAGACGACGGCAGTGTGGTGAGAGAGTCCTTGGCCAGCTGGGCAGGAGTCCCTGCGAGTTTGGGGCCTGGTGTAGGGTGGCTGTTGTATTAGTTTCCTGGGGCTGCCATAACACAGTACCACAGACTGGGTGGCTTAAAAACAGAAATTTATTTTCTTCCATGCTGGAGGTTAGATGGCTGAGATCAAGGTAGCCATAGAACTGGTTTCTTCTGAGTCTGCCTTCTGTCTGTTCACATGGGCTTTCCTCTGTGTTTCTCTCCGTCCTAATGTCCTCTTTTTATGAGGACACCAGTCAGATTAGGACCCACCCCAATGAACTCACTTCACATTAATGACCTCTTTCAAAACCATATCTCCAAATGCAGTCATATTCTTAGGTACTGGGGGTTAGAACTTCAACACATAAACTTCTGGGGGATACAACTCAGCCCATAACAGTTGTGAACATAGAGAACAGGCCCGCTTTGTCTCAGGAGTTCTGAAGGCTGAGCCCACCGAGCAGCCTGGCTGACCAGGCGGGCAGGGCCTCCGGTGTGGTGCGCCTGGAAGACAGGGGTAGAGGAATGCCCTCCCACATTGCCAGGGCCTTCAGCCTGTGCACAAGGGGACCCCCTCATTCATGTGAAGGAGCAGGTGGAGGGAGGAGGGGTAGGAGCTCTGGGGATGCCCAGGTGGCCATGCCAGGCAAGTGAATGCCCCACAGGGCTGGGGGAGGGGGCATGGACGGGGGCTTCACTGGTGGGAGACGTGGCTGCTGCTTCCTGAGACGGGTCTCAGGGGTAGGAGGCTGGGGGTGGACACCAGGTACCACACCAAGTAAACCAGTACCTCCTCCTCACCATGGAGAACAATCGGTGGAGCCACAGTGAAACCTGGGCGCCCACTCAGTCACAAAAGGTACCCAGTTGTGTAAAGTGACACCAGCACTAGAGGCTTAAGCCTTGAACCTGAAGGGGGACAAGGAGGAAATTTTCTCAGGGGCAGAAAAAGCCCCCATCTCCCTTTTCTGCTCCCAGGACTAAGGGACATGAGCTGGGAGGTGGTTGGGGTGGGGGGTGGGGGCGGGACAGCTTCCAATTGGGAAATGTGACTGAAGTATTCTGTTAGACAAAAACAGCTCCCATGTATAGCTAATTGCTTTACATCGTTTCTCATTCCTGCAGCCACCCTGCAAAGAGGAGAGGAAGCTTAGGACTCAGCGTGGTGACGAGCGAACCCACGTCCCCCTGGCTGCAGCGTGGCAGGGCTGAGCTCCGAACTCAGCTCTGGACTCAAGCTACCAGTTTCCCCTTGGCTCTCGGGGCTCGAGCCCGCGAGAGTCCTCCCGTCCTCGGCCCCTGCTGCCTTCCCTCGCCCTGGCCCTGGTCTTTCTGGATGCTGCCCCCGGGGTGAGTGGGCACATGCATAGTCATCGCTGTGCAGGTGGAGACGGTGAAGCAGCTCCTCTCTGGCCCTTTCCGTGTGAACAAGGCCAGCTCCTGACCTGGTAGCTCACACCTGAGAGCCTGGGGGCCCTGTCCTTCATGGGGACATAGGAGAAGAGAACGAGGGGCGGGAGGGAGTCCTCAGGGGTTCCATGCCCTTCCCTAGGGGTTCCCCCATCCTGAATGCCATCCTGGCCTCTCTACAGGGGTCTGCAGTGGCCCTCCCACTGCCAAACGTGTTAGAAAAGAGGCAACATGCACCAAAAGAGCTTTTTCTTCAACCCCCGTCTTCCCTGCGAATGGAACAATTTAGGCAAAAAACCCCTCCATTTGAGCTACCACCAAGGGGAAGCTACTAAAACCTCCTAGACCAGCATTGGCTGTTAAAAGCATCACTTAACCCTCCCACTCACCTACACTTGGCACTGGTCTTGCTTTCACCTCGGCCGCATTCTTCTCTCTTCAGTTGACATTCATGAGATTCGCACATAAGGACTCAGGCCTTCTCCCAGTGGGAGTTGGGGAGCGGGTCCAGGGCTGGTGGGCCAGGGAGCTCATGTCCCTCAGAAAGTCCCCATTCCAACCAGGGGCAAAGAAAAGAAGGAAATCCCAGCTCTGGTAGTTTCTGGGGTGCAGGGAAGCTGCTGTGGTCCAGGACCTGCAGAAGCAGCAGGTGGAGCTGGAAAGGTGCTGTGGATGTTAGGAATCCAGAGGAAAGCACGCCGTTAGAGTCCTTGTCGGAGAAAAGTCCCTTTTGCTACCCACAGCGAGTCGTCTGCAAGCAAGGTGTTATTTTTTATAGAAACAGTCCTTCCCAGTCTCCCTTCCTTGTCGCCAGACCTGAGCAAAATAAGCTAAGTGCTTCCCAGAGAGGGGAGGGTAGAAAGAGGAGTCCTGGGAGCTGGTGGGGGTGCCCGCAGGTACCCCAGTATTCATCCCCCCTTCCTCTCACTTCTGAGGACTCGCTTGGGCTTCCTGCCGCGTCCCACATTGGTTCAGCCTTCCTGACTGTGCCCCCTGCCTGAATCAGACGGTCCTTTTATATTCAGACATCCCCCACTAAAGAGCTGCGGGATGCAGGCCTCATTGTGCCTTAACACTTTGCCTCTCTGGCATACTCTGTAATTGGTTGGCAGAGTCTCCTCATCTCTTTCTCTTTTTTTTTTTTTTTTAAATAGCTTTATTGAGATATAATTCCCATAGCGTACAATTCATGCATTTAAAAGTATGTACGATTCAGTGGCTTTTAGTATATTCACAGATATGAGCAACCATCACCACAGTCAATTTTAGACCATTTTCATCACCTCAAAAAAAAAAAAAAAAAAAAAAAAAAAAGAGGGAGAGAGAGGAAGAAACACTGTTCCCTTTAGCTATTACGCTCGTATCCCCCATCTCCCTACCCCCACTCCCCCAGCCCTAAGCCACCACTAGTTTATTTCTGTTGCTGTGGATTTCCGCATTCTGGACTTTCTTATGAATGGAGTCATATAGGATGTGGTCTTTTGTGACTGGCTTCTTTGGCTTTGCATAGTGTTTTCAGGGACCATCCATGTTGTAGTATGTATGAGTGGTTCATCCTTCCACACTTCTCCTGAGGGTGGCGAGCAGGCCAAGTGTTGCTCCATGAGTGGAGAAGTCTCCAGAGACCGCCACGTCCAGGCTCATGGTGAACACTGCTTTGTGTCCAGCCGCACAAAGTGTTTCATTTCAGAGAATTTCATTCACTTCCTACTTGAGTGGTTGATGAACTAGAGAGCAACTTTTCCCTTGAGTTCTTGCCAGCCTGGTGCACATTGCCTTTGTACCCAACAGACAGGCTTCCGCCCAAGCTCACCATCTTCTTGTTCTTTCCAAAGGACATCTGCTCTTTCGAGGTGTTCCGGATGTCCTTCAGCCGGCTGAAGTGATGCATGCTGGCCACAGGGAGGGTCCAAAGTCATTTACAGGTGTCTGTGCATTTCTGAAGCTCCTCTGTCGGGTTCTGAGTTCTAAACTCTTCTTGGCAGTTTGCAGTAAGGAAACATTCTCGACATGTTTGAACTTGGGCATGGTGCTGCCAACGCTGTAACTGAAATTTTAATCCAATAATAGCTTAGCCTGGGCTTTTTAATAATTGAAAATGCCCAGAAAGTCATGTGATCTGTTCAAATGTCATTATGGGGCAGGAAGGAGAGATTTGACAAAATTTGTTTGAAGATAAGTGATTGGACAGAAAAATAAAACCATTTATGTTTATGCCCTGCTGACTTCAGACTGTTAAATAAACTGGTTACACATGGCAGTAGAAATCCCAAATGAGGTAGTATTCAATTTAGTAGTATGTTAAAGGATAGAACATTATGACCAAGTCAGTTTTATCACAGGAACATTAAGGTGGCTCAGTATTGGTAAATGCATTAATGCAATTTATCACAGCAGCAGGTCAAAAGACAGTTTTTGGCAGTAGTTGAGGAACTGTTCATACAAGACATTTTTATTCCTCTAGAACAGGTGCCAAACGGGAGGAACAGGACAAAGGCCATGTCTGTTTGGGATGGCTATTTATGCTGCTTTGATAGACTTGTCCTTAAAGAAGCCATTTGATTTGGGGGTGGTGACAAGTGCACTTTGTATGACTGAAAAGCCACATTGTGTCATTCTGTGGCAGCAGAGGTAGTCCAGCCATGGGTGAACGATTTCTTGAGTGTGGAAGAGAGCTCACGGTGACAAGACTTGTATTTGAGAAACTCTTTAGGCTCCATCTGTAACTCTCAATGGGGCTTATCAAGGTGCTTCAAAGACCAAGAAAGGGAAACTGCTGAACTTTGGAGCTTCAAAAGTGCAGTCCAGTGATGGTGAGACCAGAAGTTCTCAGGGCATCAGGGCAAACACTGGAGGTGGTTTCTGAACATTTCAAGACCACAGTGATTTTGCTGTTTGATTCTTCAGAAAGGGTCTTGGTCATATATTTTTAAAAAATAGTTCTACTGAGATAATTTGCATACAATAAAAGACACCAATTTTTAAGTGTACAATTCAATGGGTTTTGACAAATGTTTTCAGTCCTGTATCTGCCACCACAATCAAGATATAAAACCGTTCCATCACCCCCAAAAGTTTTCTTATGTCTATTTATAGCCAATTCCCTTCGCCCACCCTCAGCCATGGGCAATGACTTATCTTTGGCATTGTACCCTGCAAATCCTAGCTGCCTCTGCCTCTGCCTCCCTGAACTCTGAGCTGGCCCTCAACTCAGTAGGTCTGCTGGGCTCAGTGTGGGTCCCCTCCCTGTGCTATGGCCAGGAAACTCCCTGCAGGCAGGCAGCCGGGGCAGCTGTAGCCCTCTCCTGGTTTTTTTTTCCTGGAATCCCACTCCTATATCCCCCGTGTCTCATATCTGTAAGATATCGTTTTACACATTTTGTTTGGATTTCTGTTGTTTGTGTTAGGAGGGCCATTTCTGTAGTGCTCTTCCTCGTAGTTTGCTGTTTGACTGATGGTCTCATGCTACCGGGAGTCACCCTAAGAAATTGCTCCAGGTATGTTTAGGCTTCTGTCCACTCCTTTATGGGAATTATACAGTTTCAGCTAAAATGGAATAATTGTGCTTCCAGTTTGCAACCCATTGCCTCCTCAAGGCATGAAGAAATGTACAGATACCTTATAATGATAATTCATTTTGAAGTAATATCAAATTTAGTAAAAACTTACGAGACCAGGAGACAAAGAATTTCCACTGCTGCCAGTTATATGTTGCATTTAGTAAATGTGACTCTTTAGTCTCCTTCATCTGGAACACTTTCTTAGTCTTTCCTGATCTTTCTTAGAACTCGGCAGTTCTAAAGGGTACAGGCTCATTCTAGGGCAGATTTCTTAATCTGGGTGCATGTGCAATGTTTCCTCATGTCCAGACTCAGGCCATGTGTTCTTGGCAGGAATTATACAAAAATGATACTGGGCTCTTTCAGTGTATTGTATCAGCAAGCACACAATGTCAATCCATCACACTGCTGCTGATTTAATTGTAATCACCTGGTTAAGTTGTTGTCTGCCAACTTTCCCCTCTTAAAGGAACCATTTCCCCCTTGGTAAGTTGTGGGGACATGCTCTGAGTATATGTCAATATTTACTGGTGCTTTTTTGAGGGAGTAAAACACTTGTGATTTAACTTTGCCCTAAAGAATATTAACAATATAAAAATAGCTATCATTTAGTGAGCATTTATTATGTGCCAGGCACTGTGCTAAGCACTTTACATATCTTAGTTGAATCCTCAAGTCCTGTGAATTAGGTTGCATTATTATTCCCTTTTACAGATGAGGAAACTGAGCCATCTGTGATGATGGATTTGGAGCAGAACACATAAGATGCCACCTTTTTAGTCTTCTTGAGTACTTAAAAAAACTTTTCTTCTGTTTAGTAAATAAATTAAAAAACAAACAAACCTTTAAAAGACATTAGTCAAGGAAGAGTTAAAAGCACCAAATGAAAGTGCTTTGGATTTTTCCCTTGTAGCTGAAATGATTGTTTGTTGCGACTAATGACCCAGAGGTTCCATTTGCTACTTTAGTAGATAATACACCTTGAAATCTGCAACCATTTTAAAATTGGGTCAAAGATACTAATTTAAAGCCACCAAAGTTATCAAAAGTAAACCCCACCACATCTCATTATTTCTACCCATGTGAGGTCAGTTAGTGAGAGGAAAATGAAACATAATGACTAAGAATGTCAACCCAGTCAAAGCCATTTGGAAATTTGCCAGTGCAGGGACCAACCCACAAGAAACCTTGGATATGATCTCTACGTACAAAGAAAAAAATCACCACAAGGCATTATTAAAATATGAGAATTAGTGGAACAATTTTGATACTGGTCAAGAATTATGAGAGTAAAATATTTTCAAATACCCTAGAGGAAGAGACCATTTTCTCATGTATTAATTATAAATTAAACACTGTCTATCAATCTTTGTTTCAATTCTTAATGAGTGTTTTTATCTGAGTTCATTTTTATTAAATTTCCCTTGGGAGAAGAATGGTGGCTTTACGGATATTTTGCTAAGGCCCATTTATTACAGGCAATTTGTGATGGTCATAAATTTTGAGGTTGAATAACAAAAGTGAGAAGGGAGTAGAGTGAACAGTGGATTGAGGCTGAGAAATAAGGTGAGATGAAGGGTGGCCTGCACAGAAAACAGTTTTTACATTTTGATACCACTCAAAATGACCCAAATAAAAAGTACCACGTTAAAATGTCCTTTGAATGAAAATAGCCACTTCAAAATGGACAGCTTCACTCAGCTGCCTATCACAACACTCACCCCAGTTCAGAAGATTTGTGGCAGTCACAGGCATAACACACCTGGTCTCAACTCTTTCTGAAGACCCCAAAGGCCGTGGATTGAAATCCTGAGTTGTGAGGCCGGTGTGCTGAACCAAGATACCGAGCTAGTGAGTGAACCTAGCAGACTGCCCAGCACCCACCTCCCACCGAAGTATGACATTCTCAATTCATCACTTCAAGAGTGACTGTACTTAAATGACAAAAACTTTGTTTTATTTTTTGTTTGTTTTTTGTGTGTGCATTAAGTGTGTAATAAATGGAGATAAACAAAACCTTAATGAAATCTTTAAAAGGCAGTTAACTAGGAGTGGGAGGGTGGGTAATGGGTATAGGAAATACCAATATCTTGTTAGGAATGTGATTCCAGAAGCCAGGAACCCACACATCTGAGTTCATTATCTTTGCAGGTTAGAAATGTTTAGGAAGGTGGTAAAAATGGTTCATTTTCCTTTCTTCTGTTGTAATAGAAACGTGAGTATCTTTCTGCACATGTGGCTGCCCAGAGGAAAGAGTACATTTACCACACGTCCCTGGAGCTACTTATGGCTGTGTAATTAAGTTCTGCCCAATGGGATGTGGTTAAGATGTGAGCAACTTAGGGGCTGTGTCCTGAACGGGAAGGAGCGTGTGCTGCCCTGGCCCTCAGTGGCTGGAATGTGGACACGAGGTGAGGCATCGTGGGCCAGGCGGGCAAGGGAGCCCCAGAGCCTTCATCATGAGTCTCTGAGCTCCTTCTGACAATAACCTCCCCAAATTTCTCTGCGGTTCCTCATGGCAGGCCTAGCACCATCCTAGGCCCAGGCACAGAATTGGTGTTTGTGAATGCTTATTGGATGAATGAAGGAATAAATGAATAAATAAACGCATGTGCTGTGACACAAACCAGCTTGCAACAGGAGCTGGGATAGAGGCATCAGAAAAGCTGTGGAGGGAGTCACCTCCCAGTTGAAACACATGCCTAGGAATTTGTGCTTGGCTCCTTTTAACAGAAAACCCAAGTAACAGTAACAGCTAAATAGTGATTCATTTTCCTCACATCGTGAGGGTCTCTCAGTGGGTTGTTTCTCAGTTGGGTTTAGTGGGTCAGAGGTGTCAGGACTAAGTTTCTGCCAGTCACTTGACCTCTTCCTCATGGTCACAAGATAGTAGCTTTAGTGGATTAAATTATGTCCCCCCAAAACTCACTGAAGCTTGAATTGTGTCCCCCAAGTTTTATGTATTAGAAACTTAGCCCCCACTGTGACTGTTAAGAGGTTGGGAGATCCTGTGGTGATAGTTGAAGGATGGAGCCTTGAGGAGGTGGTTGGATTGTAGGACCG